GCACCCAGCGCCGGTGTGTGTCGCGTGCCTGGGGCCGGCGCCTCCCGTGTGCCGGGGGCAGGACCGGCCCAGGTTGTCGGCGGGCATACATGAATGCCCCAGCGGGCGCTATGGCGCCCGTGGGCACCGCGTTGGGGACCACTGATCTAATGCATAATGATCACTATAAGTAGGGTTCATAAAACCAAATGGAAATAATAATTGGACACAGACATATTTCCCACACTAACACAAGATAATTCTGATTAATTAGTGAACACAATAATCAGCTTTTGCCTACTGACTTTTAATGGGTTTTTAGGCCTCTAAGGGTATGTCTAAATAGCAGTGTTATTCCAAAATAACAAAGAGCATGTCTACATTGCAAGCTACTATTTTGAAATAATGTCGAGCTGGAGGACTTCTTATTTCACAAGGAGTAAGAGAAGACCTGTGGATATGATGGATCCCATCACTTCTTCTGTAGTGTGAGGCATTATGGTCACCAAAGGCTGTTTTGGAACAATGTGGGACAGTGTTTTCTTTTTGATGAATTATGTTCTGCAAAAAGGTTGTAAAAGGGGTTGAGTCTGAGGACTGAGGTATGAGATAGCCATTGAGATTCAGTCAACCCTCACCAGGAAAATGAAGTGAGTGTTGAGTAGGACTCTGGCACATCAAGAAAGCTTGTGGGTCAGAACGGCACAGAAAATAGGGAAACTGAGTCACAGCTGGACAGTGCTGTGATACAAAAACGACTGAGTGAAGATACAAAAATGACTGAGTGGCACAGTTGATGATAGTTGTAAGCCAGAACTGTGCTAGAAGCTGTGCTGACTCAGTTTGGTTTAGAGGTTTGATTTCAGATCTTAGGGGGTGACAATTCTTTGCTGCTCTAGATGAGGGAAATTGAACCACAGCTGGAAGAAGCTCTGATGCAGGATCTGGTGGGAGCAGTATGACTCTAACAACTATAGAATAGTTATGTGCCATCACTCCACTGAGAGTAGGGCAGACTGCTAGGAGTAATGAGCCGCTGGAACAGCTAAGAAACTTGTGGGACACAACTCCACTGACAGCAGGGCAGACTCAGTGGTAAGCAAGCTCAGTAAACAGAGACAGATCTTTTTATTGGCCTGAGTGCCTGTGACAATCTCTATCCCAGTGTTCACTCCATTTACAAGGCAGCGATAAATGTTGTACAAAGTATGCTTTGTATGGAAGTCGAAGGAAGAGTGCTCTTCCTTTGACTGTGGACAGTGCCAAAAGCTGAATTAATCTATTTCGACTTCAGCTACGCAATTGACATAGCTGAGGTTGAGGAGCTTAATTCAACTTTTGCCTGACTTTTGTGTAGATGTACCCTAAGTCACTCAAACACTACCGAAAAATCTCACTCATGCAACAATTATATTAATATCTTGAACTAATTGATTTATAACCGTATTGACAGCAGGCATTCTCTCTTGTAATTCTTTATAGCTAGTTATTCAGGAAGCAATCTTTGCAGGTGTGGAGAAATTGCTTCTCCAAAGGTTATACCGATGTGAGATATGATCAGTCAACACACAGATATCTGACAACACCCATTACTGCTGCTTTGCTGGGTTTAGTTATCTCTGATCTCTCTCAATTCTGCAAGCACAATATACTTTTTCTTGTACAAAGGAAAAACGTTAGTATCATTTTACCAGCATATTTTACTTGGGGCTTCTTTCAATGTGGATTGTACTGTAAAGTCTACTTCACTCAAAAATTGTATCTCATTAGATTATAAAAGTCAAAACTACAGGATGCTGCTATAAAAGTTAGGGTTCTCCTGATTCCATTCTGCAAAAAACAATGCCTGTAATTTGTGGGGACTTAAATTCCAACCCTCCTGCAGTAACACTCCCACCTCCTGTGCAAGAAGTGGGCAAATTATGTACAATCCATTATTTCTTTTGGGGGTCACACAAAAGGCCACATAATTATCCTGTTGTATTACACGTAAAAAACCCAGGCACATATATTCATTCTGAAGTCTGCAAGGATATAATCCTCAAAGTACTGTACAATCTGCAACATGCTTCTTATAAATATAATGTTAAATTAGTTCAAACATTCTACTATATTACTTTAAAAAGGTGTACCTTTCATGCATAAAAAGTTAAAAATATAAAAATTCAGGTTTTATCATATTGGAAAAGAAAAAAATTTGTTTTGCAACACTATATATATATATATATATATATACACACACACACACACACACACACACACACCACTTCATAAAAATTCCTCCATGTAAATACTTTCTCTGTTGTATTTCATATTCATATGTTTTTATTTACATTGTATAGTTAGCACATGAAATAATCATGTTCTATCAAACTAAAATAAACTATATTTCACAGACAAATAATCACTAATGTTTTTAAAGGAGCAAGTAAATAAGAAAGGAGAAAGCATATGCATGTGATGGATATGCTAAAATACTCTTCTGAAAAAGAACAAATTTTAAATATATCTATTATATTTAATGTGGATTTTATTTTCACATACAATCCAAATAGTCAAGTTTGTTTTTTCTTAATTAATTCTGTGCCATATTGCTTGGCAGCAAATGAAGGATCTGCTCTTGTGCCCATTGAACTCAATGGGACGTTAGTCATTGACATCAACAGAAGCAGCAGCACTCCCGATGAACAGTAATAACTCTTCTAAGCCTAAATTCAGCCTTTAGATAACCTCAGAGTAAATGTTTAAGTGTTTTGCTGAACAGGATGGAGTACATGATTAAAGCACTTTGATAAATTAAGGCCCTGATGAGATGTGAGCCAGGCTGGTACTGGTGGCTGTAATCCTCTTCAGAACATTACCATTATTTAATCTTCAAATAACTGCTGCAGGAGGTAGGTAACAGTCTTCCCTATAAGCTGGGTGCTTGTGAAGCCACTTAGGAGAGATTCAAATGCCTTCCAGCTATTAGAGTGCCCACAGCTAGGCTTTTGTTTCTACTGCTGGTGCACATTTGCATATGCCTTGGTGCACATAAAAATTTATTCTTCACGTGAATAGAAAAAATCTGCACATGGATGGAAAAGATTAGCATGTACACTGGTACTCTATACCTTAATAATCATCTTGACTATCCATAATTTATATAGTTATTCAAGTTTCTACAAGGTTTCTATCCCACTGAGTGCATTATATATGTCTGAGATAAAAGTGAGAACTTTTCCAGATATGCACAGTAGAGAAATCACTACCTCCTTGTCTCAAAAATCACATTAGAAGGCACAGATAGGAAAGCAATGCCCATCAAACACTAGATATGGCATTAAGCAAAAGCCTGGATGAAGAGACGTGTTTCACAGAGGCTAGAAATGAGGTTTAGGTGAAAATGAAGACCATGCAATGGGATGTAGTTGCTTTCAATATCCCATCTTTTGCTATCAAAGCAACCGAAAAGGGTGAAGTGGTGCTAAGTGGGTTCTGACAGTAGATGTAAATGTCGGTTACCCAGTGGCACTCTTGCAGCACTTGCATCAGGATTGATCCAAAATGACAGCCAGGACAGAACAACAATTAGCAGTGTTGGAGCATAAACACCCATCATGTAAAATCCAACTTGTCTTCTTAAAGTGAAGATTACTTCTACACAAGTGTAATAACCTTTAAAGAAATAAACACATTAAATGTTCTCATGTTTTACAGACCAACATTTTTCAGATTAGAATGCCTGCCCGGTTGAAATTAGTGGGAATTCTGCCAATTATTTCAAAAAGGCTCTCAATGAATTAGGCTTAAAATGATTTGTTTTTCCCATAACTAAATAGTTTATTTAAAAACATGTTTGAAGCACACAAAAGAGCTTACAAAACCAGAATGAAAAGAGAGCTGCAGCTTGTACCTGACCTTTCAGAACACAGAGGAAATCACAGTGCCTGCTGCTAAATCAATCTCTAGATTTACAAGTCCTTCTACATTGAAAAGTAGAGTAATATCTTGTCATTGCTAGTGGGTGTTCTTGCAGGCATATGAACTCAGGAAACCAAATAGGGACAAGCAAAAACAAAGGAAGTAAAAAGACCGTAGGGAATTCTTCTGTAGTCCAAGGAACTGTAATGCATGGACAGAAGCAAGGTGTTTCTAGCAATCCAAAAGAGTCAGGCTTCCCAAATTTTGCACACTGGCAACATTCTGTTCTTGGAGATGCACAGATTCCCGAAGCAGAATTTTGCCAAATGGCAGAATAGCACTTAACTCCCTTAAGTTCTTGTGAAAATCCCAGCTGGTATCTAGTTTGTGAAAAAGAAGGAATCACTTATTAAAATAACATGTACAGCTATGAAGTCTTGTTCAGATTAGAGAAAAAAAATTAAAAAGTAAAGACCTATAGCAGGGTTTAATAAAAATCACCACAATAATGAAAGTTGATAGATATAATATTTTGTGTTGGTACACAATTTTAAAAGAGAATCTTGTAAATTTAAAATTGTGAAAAAACTAGGAATACAGGCTCAGGTTTATTTAAATACGGACTACATCACATACACATACTGCCAGACGACCTGGAATGGTCACTGAAGCAAAGATTAAAAATGAACCCCACAGCCCCCTACATTTGCCAGTAGAGAACAAAGGAATCAAGAAGTATGGTGGTACAAACAGTAGCTAAATTCTGCCCATATGTAAACTCATATGTAACTCCACTGAAGTGTGTCTTACATTCACCTGATTTGATAGTATAAAAATAACCCATAAGCTTCAGTATCATCATTTCAGGGCAAGACTTTTCCCAAGTGCTTTATAAATTAAAAGTCTTTTCCAGTTAGTAGCAAAAGTTGGTGAAAAGCAACTTAAAACTTAAATTTATATCTTAAATATAGAGCTTAAATGCAAAAAGGGAATACATTCTTTTTTATATTGTTACATTAAATATAACATGTACACAGTTTACAGTTATAAGTTGTTTGGATAAACAGTTGTTTAACTGTTTAAGACTCAAATACAAAGCAAAGCATAAACTAAAACAGAAGGAAACAAATTTTCCTTATTTCTTATAGGTAAAAGACATGCATATAAGTTAATTTTTCCTCTCCTCTTTTATGATCTTTAGGCTAAGGAATTCTTCCTAGTTTGTGAATTGTTTCCAGATATTTTCAAATTCTTACTTATTTTCCACACTATTTATGACTTTTATGTGTTCAGCTGTTTGTGTTAACCAAAATAAATTTGACCTCTGGACTTGTATCATCTTTCAATACGCAGAGTATAATATTCCTTGCCATCCCCATTTATCTTAATGGTTTCCATTTAGCACATTCATGAGAATTTTTTGCCTGGCATACAAGAAAAAGAAATATGGAGATTTTCAGTGTAGTGCAGGCAGTGATCATCATAAAAATGTAATCCCCAGATTTGCTTTTGCTTGTACAAGTACAGAACATATGGATCCAATCCTATGTCTACTGAAGCAAATGTTAAAAACACTGAGGGACATAAATGGGTGAATAAGGTAGAGTACTATGTTTGCAGTTATCAAACATTTCCAGCATAAACCATAGCTTTGCAAATTCAGTTTGTACGTTAATGAGGTGTTCTTGTACAGTGCAGGAGATTAGCTTTAATTTGGTATTACAAAGAGATGTTCTCCCACCATATGCCTTCAAAATATGAACCTTTTGAAATCGATATACAAACCTAACAATGCCTGCTTTTATCTGCAAAGATCCTGCAACAGTACCTCAAAGTCATCTCAAGGGAATGTTTAGTCTAAAGCCTGGTTATAACAAAGGCTTCTTTTAATTAAATTATAATTAAAAGAATCTGTTAAAAAATGATTTGATAAAAATGAGTCAAAATGTGGCAAAAACTTTCATGAAAATGTCACCAGTTCTAAATGTTAACTCTTTCTTTCATATGAGAAAGAAAAGAGAAGAACATCAAATATATTCATAATCTACCATAACCTATCTTTTTTTCCCTATCATAAGGGAGCACTATTACTTCTGCCTCTTCCCAAATGTAAATTTATTTAGGACACAATGCCAATTAATTCCATTTAACTATCAAATATTTTTTCAACATCTTAGCCTAGCACAGCACTTAGTGAGAATTGAATACTTAGGACCATCTAAATAAAATGGAACAGTATCTTTTGTATCATCTGCTGTTTCCCCATTTCATTTATATATCATCTGGTCATTGAAGCTCAAATTCAATTTATTTAGGCTCAAATTCAATTTATTTCTGAGTAATGTATTGTTTAACTGTTTAAGACTCAAATACTGCTATAGTTATTATACATACTTTTAACTTATCTGAAAGCAGAGATAAACAGGATTGTTGCCTCGCACCTGTGGGTTGTACTTTTTACAGTAGCATAATTTTTCTGCATGTGGATTAATTCTATATTATTTTAAAATGGTAAGTTACCAGAGACAATGGATAACCTAGCAAGAACTTAAAGGATGAGAATTCATTCCTACTGTAGCTAAGACCATAGTTCCAAGGAATACTTACACTGAAACCTGAAATAATGCAAAGCTCAACTGATTTCAAATTACAATACAAACTTCAGATTCAGATAAAATTAGCTCAGAGGATCACACAATTTTCTGGGAAATCACCAGATATAGGTACTGTGGAGCCAGACAAATGTTATCTTTTGACAAAGCAGAGTTTCTTGATGCTAGCAAGGGGAGCCTCAGAGCTTCCCTCCTTTCTGTGTTCTGCTTGAGGATCTCTGCAAGCCTGTGGCATATGTTTCAAAATGAACTTATCAAAATACAATAAAAAACATGCTGAATTGAAAAAGAAATGTTGAGTATTGCTTCTGGATGTGATCAATTTTATAACTATGAATGTGGTCACAAATCAGAGGAGGTAGAAACAGACAATAAACCACTAGAAATTGTATTTCAGAAATCATTGTACAAAACAGAATCTGGATTTCAGAATATCATGAAATTGCAAGTGTATAAATATAGAATCTGTAAACAGTTTTAATGTAGAGAACATGCTTTCAAGAGCACACTATTATCAGAAAAAACCTAGAAACTACAGGAAGGTTCGAATTAATACTCAAGCATTCTGAAACAATAATTGACAAGCTCAAGATCTAGATGAATGGCCACCGAGAAGAACCCAGGCACTTTCAAACATAAAAGCTGCTCAGGACAATGGAAATGAAATTGCTATGGGAGGATCAGAGATATCCTAACAAAAATAAGAAAAGGAAGTCATATATACTGACCTTCATCTCAATCTCTTTATAAATTTGTGGTTAGCATATCTGGCTGTTATATAATTTGATATGTTATTCATATCTAAATTATTAATTAGTTAAAAACTAATTTCCCCTTCCACAATATAAAAACTATCAATGCAACTATCAATAACAATATACAATAACTAAATGCAAATTGGCGTATTTAATAAATAAATTTGTTAATAGAATTACAAACCTGTGCCTTTATAATATTTGGTACAGTTACCATATTCAATATCCTCTTTTTTAATATCAAACTGTGGCAAAGCAATTTTTTCTAACTGAACAGGATCTCCAGATTGCCAGATGAATCGTAAATCATCAGTTGTGTATCCAACTACAAGAAAGAAAAACAAAACATTTAAAAGCTACCTTACATGAGAGCGAATTCAGAAAAAAAAATCTATTTTTTAAAAAATTTCTTGCTTTCTGCTTTTGTCACAAAATTATGAGTGGCTTCACAGATATTTATTCTCTATTTTTTACTAGGACTTGACAAAACTTTGTTATTTTAGTACTCAGTATTCACACAGAGAAAACAGTACCTGATCCTCCACAACTTTTAACACTGTATTGTCATTTAGACTCTGATTCAGCAAAGAACATTAATACATGCTTAATCTGCAAACATTCTTAAATCCCATTGATCTCTGTGGGTTTTAAGACTGTGTTTAAGTGATTTTCTGAATCTGGGCCTTTCGTATATACAAAGTGGCCTTAAGTGCATTCTTCAATACAGATGGACTTAACCACATGCTTAAGTGCTTGCCTAAATCTGGGTCCACACAGATGACTTTTGACCACTTCATAACACACTGCACAAGAAAGTGAAAAAGCAGGACCATCATGTTTGAACATAAAAAGATGTTAATTAAAAGTGCAGTCATGATCATGATTTTACATAATTTTCTGTCTGCCTGACACTCATTAAAAATGGAATTAAACACAGAGTGGTGCTTAAGTAATGGGAGGGATAGAGGACATAAAAAGGATAAATTCAGAATGTAGTGTATTTTTTTCTAAGGGTACGTCTACGCAGCACAGCTATTTTGGGATACCAAAGGTATCCCAAAATTGCTACTCTGTGCATCTTACCAAGCTGCCCATTATTTCAATTTTTTTTAAAAATAATGGAGGCGTTATTTTGGCATCCTTGTAAGCCAAGGGTTAAGGGATGTCTCAAAATAGTGCATTATTTCAAAATTTGATACTGTGTAGATGTGCCAAATTACAAAATAAGCAATTTTGAGTTTAGGGTGCTGCACCTTAAGAATGCAGACTCTTTAAGAAATGCTTAACAAGCTGTTCCTTCCCAGGGGTGGGAATAAGGTACATTATTTTTACATTTGAAAAATATCTGTGATAAACTAAAATGTGGATGAACTTTTCAAACTTTTCAATAGGTAATACTGATTATGGAAAACTTCCCTAAGTTTTCCACCTTAACATTTATATCATAAAAGCTATAGCATGAAAGTATGTTTTAATACTTTTATTAAGTGTATTTCATTCTCAAATGCACAGCAAATTGCAACAAAACTGTTATAATTGAAAGGAGAAGTACAAAGCGTCTCTCAGTATACAGAGAGAGTTGTGTAGCATGGTTAACAATAACAGCATATATGAAAAAACTGGTGTGTGTGTGTGAGAGAGAAAGAGAGAGAGAGAGAGAGAGAATTAGTGAGGGAAAAGGTGGCAAGCATATGGTCAGGATAGCTGATGATGCAGCAAAAGATCAGAGTGAGAATATAAGTGTAAGAGGATACTTCAATTGGTAGAGCAGAAGAGTAAAGAGATGGGAAACCAGAGGCATTTAAGTGCATAGTCATGAAGGATACTTAGTAGAGTCAATTTTTCAAATGGATGGGAAGTCAGTACAGCTCTTTTATGACAAAGATGAGAGGTATGAGAGAGGTGGTAGCACTTCCAGCAAACTAGAGTTTGGACAGGAGGAAGCCTTATAGGAATGTGCTGCAATAATCAAAGCATGAAATAACTAAGTCACAAAAAACAGTTCTTTATGTGTTATGCGGACCTGTGAAGTGAAAGGAAGGTCAGGGGCAAGGAAGGAGATGCATGTTTTAGAGACAAAGCTGAGGATATTTCTCTTGTAAAGGTGGAGGATCTGTCTTTGTAATACTCAATTTAACATCACATCAAGGATTTATGTGGTTTAGAGAGATGAGGGGGAGTGTTGAAGGAAAGGTAAATGAAAGAGTTAAAAAGAGAGGCATAGATATCACTGGCATCAAAGTGGTATTTATGCTTAAATTGTTAATTTTTAATGTAAGGAAAATGAGGCAAAGCAGATAGTTTTTTAATGTAAGGAAATGAGAAACCAGAGCAGAGTGGTTTAGAATCTGAGGCACAGTCACTACCAGTTTCAAAGAAATCGTCATTGGAGACATAGTAGCCAAAGTGAGTGAGTAAGGACTCTGACCTATTTAATGTTTAGGCCAGTCAAAGAGCATATGTATTGACACTGGTGTCATATGCTGTGCTGAGGTTACGAAGAATAAAAAGCATGGGAAGTTATCTTTAGCAAAGTGGAAAAGTTAACTGAACATTCCAAGCCAAGCAGTTTCTTGGCATGGAGGACGTTGAATACATACGGGCAGAGGGAAAGCAATACAGTAATTAGAGAAGTCAGCTTCTCTAATCTCACCATTTTACAGAATGGGTGTAATTTATGCATGTGGTAGTAGTTGTTGAAATTACTGGGATCAAAGATAGATTTGTTATCAATTATGACTTTTAGTGTAATAATGAAAATTCTACAAAGTAAGCTGATAATATAGGGATCTAAAGCTGGGGGAAATATTGGGTGTGTCTAGACTACATGACTCCGTTGATTTAAATAATCCCCACTTCATTAAAATAAAAATGGCCACTGCACTGTGCCAACAATCAGCTGATCCAGCACAGCGCAGATCGGTCAACAAGGGAAGCCTTTGTCAACCGCTCCTGTAAGCCTCGTGACCTTGTTGACCGATCTGCGTCTAGATTGCCGTGCTGTGCAGGATCATCTGATTGTCGACAGCGCTTCGGCCACTTTTATTTTAATGAAGTGGGGATTATTTAAATCCCCACTTCATTGACTATGTCGGGTAAACTACTTTACATGGCTCCGTCGATGGAGCAATGTAGTCTAGACACACCCATAGAGTTGAGTGAGCTGGGTTAAGAACGTCAGATCTAATGAACCAGCTCAGGACACTGGTCAATCTAGTCCAGTATCCTGTCTCTGATAATGGACACATGACATGCTTCAGAGAAATGAGCATAAAACTCTATAGTTGACACTTATGAAATAATCTGTCCATTGGGGAATTTTTTATGGCTTAAATGACTGCTTCTTGGAGCAGCTCGTACAGGAACCCACAAGGGGAGAGGAAATCCTCGATTTAGTCCTGAGTGGAGCACAAGATCAGGTCCAGGATATAATGAGAATGGTTATCCAGCCAGTTATGCACCCACCTTATAGTAGCCATGCCATATAAGTTGCATTTGCCTAGTTTGTTGATAAGAAGATCATGTGAGACAGTATCAAATGCCTTATTAAAGTCTATGTATACCACATCCACTGCTTCTCCCTTATCCACAAGACTTGTTACTCTATCAAAGAAAGCTATCAGATAAATTCCTTAATTACTTGTTCCATTATCTTCCCTGGCACAGAAGTTAAACTGACTGGTCTGCAGTTTCCTGGGTTGCTTTTATTTCCCTCTTTATAGATGGGCACTAGATTTTCCCTTTTCCAGTCTTCTGGAATCTCTCCTGTCTTCCCTGATTTTTTTTCAAAGATGTTAGATAAAGGCTCATATCTCCTCTATCAGCTCCTTGAGTCCTCTAGAATGCATTTCATCAGGCCTGAACAGCTAGCCAAAAACTCAAAAATATTTTTTAAGTTCATTAGAAGAAGGAAGCCTGCTAAAAAACCTGTGTCCCCTCTAGACAATCGAGATATAAAAGGAGCAATCAAGGACGATAAAGTCATTGCAGATAAACTAAATGATTTCTTTGCTTCAGTCTTCACGGCCGAGGACATTAGGGAGATTCCCAAATCTACACCGTCCTTTGTGGGTGAAGAATCTGAGGAATTGTCCCGGACTGAAGTGTCATTAGAGGAGATTTTGGAACAAATAGAAAAACTTAATGTTAACAAATCTCCGGGACCGGATGGCATTCATCCAAGGATTTTAAAAGAACTCAAATGGGAAATTGCTGAACTATTATCTGTGGTTTATAACCTATCCTTTAAATCGGCTTTCGCACCTAATGACTGGAAGGTAGCTCACATGACACCAATATTTAAAAAGGGCTCTAGAGGAAATCCTAGCAATTACAGACTGGTAAGTCTAACTTCAGTACCGGGAAAATTAGTCGAAACAATAGTAAAGAATAAAATTGTGAGGCACGTAGAACAACATAATTTGTTGGACAAAAGTCAACATGGTTTCTGTAAAGGGAAATCATGTTTTACTAATCTATTAGAATTCTTTGAAGGGGTTAACAAACATGCAGACAAGGGGGATCCAGTAGATATAGTATACTTAGATTTTCAGAAAGCCTTTGACAACGTCCTGTAGCCAGACAGAGTCTCTCCCCC